TCAAAAACATGGAAGACTGTATCAGTTTATTTGCTACTCCTACAAAATATAATGTACAAAATGCCCCAATACACTTACAAATGGAGTTGATCGAGATTCAAGAAAACTCAGTCCTAAAATCCAAATTTGAAGACGTAGAGTTGTGCGGTTTTGACAAAAAATACCTAGAAGAAGACAATTTTACGCAGCTTAGAAAATTCGCAAGAAGAATGATTTGTGCATTTGGCAGTACTTATCAACATCACATCGTACAAGACTGACTGACGATAATTTAGAATATTCTTTACGTCTTTGTATCAGTGGAATTAATCCAAATATCGATGGATTAGTTTCCCAAATTCAAGCTCAAGTGTCTCATTGATTTCGGTGTATTTAACTTTCGTAGTTTGTAACAATTGCAAATTAAACGATTTAATTATAATGTATCATTTTATTAAATTTCATATTGTTATTTTAATAAATTGTACTATAATAACATTGTCGTGTTATGTCATGTCTAATATCTATCGCAAAAAATATTATCACTACTTTAAAATGCACTAAGTACTTTTAAACGCGGCCCGCGAACGTATTTGCACGCTAAAGTTTGGCCCTCAACATGTCAAAGGTTGCCCATACCAGACCTAGTGCATTGTTTCGTACCGAGCTAGAAAGAAGTTCGGCGTCCGCGCGAATTTTGATCCTAGTCAGCTGATTTTAAATTACACTGCTGGTTTTATGTTTAAGTATTTTCATTATTTTTCTTATGAAATTATCTGTAGCAACATGATGGAGCTTGAATAAAGCTAATAAAACGTGGTGAAAAGATGATATTTTTCCTCGGAATCGATATTCTTTCTGACGAATTATCAACGGCATCGTTAAGGTGATATGTATGTATAGAGATACAGATCTACATTTTTCGATTTTATTATTTTTGAATTTTGATTGATTTTTTGAAACCTGGTAAATATTTTTTTTTCCATACCTATTGCTGGGCCTGAGTATATTGCCAGTTGTGCTCTTGTTGTTGTCTTAGCTGAAGTAATTTTTTTTATTTTATGCACAATTGCAAACAAAACATTGATTGCGCATCTCTAAAACAAAATTTTACCTCTTCTCCTTCACCTAACACGGAGGAATAGGTTTTTCTATACGACCATTTGCAGTAACAATTTTTGTTAACAGTTATTAGTGTAACATTTTTATCAGCTGCTTTATTCATAGTGCCTGGAGCAACACTTTGCCGGGTTCTGTACAGAGAATGATACTGGTTTTGGTATTACTTATTGGCAATAATTCGTAGGCGTAGTGCTGCAGAAAACTGTTCCAAATATGGATGGCCGTTACCAAAGAATATAATACCTGCTATGTTACATCTATTTACGTAGAAACTAATCATTATCTGCATATGATTCTAAATAGCACTTTTTAAACAAGAAAGTATACTTTGAGATCAGTCCATCCTGTTTTTCGCTTATTAAGTGAATAATAAAACAAAACAAGAGGTCCGTGACTTAAAATTTCTTGCAGCTTTTTATAGAAAACCTAATCATGAAATTATAGTTAATCATTGATAAAACTTTTACCTGTGCCATCATGATTGACCGTGTGTATGAATTTTATAAGTCTATGCTATTTTTTATGAAAATTATTATTGCAGATAAAAGACCTTTCACATTTATTTTAGTCTCGAATTAAATTAAACAATGTGCATTTGTGCACGTGCATTTCTTTTAATACGAACTTAGTCGTGTTTCTTTGAAACTAACAAGGTTTGTTTTATCCAAACTAAGAATGTTGCTGATGAAACGACAACAAATTAGGTAGGAGAGGTTTCGTTTTTGCAAAATGTCCCGTTAATGCCTCTTTATAACTGATCGATATACGTGGTAGAGCCATGCTGCAGTTACATTAGTAGTATAGTTGTAGCACGAATGGGTCGGCTCGACCGGGGAAGGACCACGCTCTCACAGAATACCAGAGTAAAACAGCAGCCTTTTTTTAGACAAGATAAGATATATTTTTATTTAAATATACCTACCATAAAAAATATGGATAGAAGCATCGATAGGCTTAAACTATTGATTTTTTGTTGACTGACATCTTATCCACCACACATCACAAAAGATAATTGAAGGACAATGCAATTTCCACGTAAAGAAATTGTATACAGGACATTAACAGCGGTAAGGTAATCCTGTGAATAGGATTAATTCAGCATCTGAGAATATAATGGCTCGAAATAACAAGGCTTCATGCAGCACTGAAGAAGAAGAAGACATAAGCTCGAAATATGGTAATCACTCATAGGCTGTTTCTTATAACTGTTTCCTGAGATTATATTTAACCAAATGGAATATCCTAAAAGAAAAATATATCAATATTCGATACCATTTCTTGTTGAAAATCTGAGTTGCTAAAAATACCGAACGGCAATTGTTAATCAAATATAATTTTTTCAATTAGAATTTTTACCAAAGTTAATGAAAACCTTTTTAAAATTAATCCATAGAAAATATTAAAAACGTGCTATGAAAGTTTAATGATTATGGATTTGTGTTTCATTGTTACAGCCTAGTTAAATTTCTAAATGTTACTGTAACATAAACTTTTTAATAAATTTTATTATTCTGTAAATACTATTTTATTTATTAAACCATGTATCGCCTTCTTAATAGACCAATAATAATTTTAGTTACTTTTGTATTCGTTGCAACGTATTGAAATTTGTGAGTGTTATAATTTTGGATACATATATATTTCAATTCAATTAAATTACAAAGTGAATGCATCTTAAAATTTAAATGCAATGAATTAAATGAATAATTTGAATATAATTTACAAATATAAATCAGCAGGATATGTTTATTTCAGCGCATGTTATGTTCCTGTAGGATTTTGGATAATATTATTTATATACCTAGTATTAAATTTGACCTAAAACTAATATACCTGGTCAAGGGATCGATTTGACTTTGACTTTGGCTACATTTAACTTGTGAGTTGAGAAGAAATTTGCAACAGATGTTGAGGGTATAAAAGTATCCAACATGTCTGAATTTCTTACTATGGCCCCGCGCGGTATGACGATGCTTTTGCCTTATGTACGAAAACATGTATGCATGGACTATAGCTAAGTATATAAATTTTAACAAATAGTATGAATCTAAATTTTCTACGACAAAGTTGTAAGAAACATGCCTTACGACGTTTAATCAAGCCAAAAGGAAAATATGAAATTGAAATTATCCGTCTTATTACAAAAAGGAGTTTATAATTAATCACAGGTTTAATTTAGAGTATTTTTAATGTCCCGTGGATAATATGCGAACTCAAAATATATAATATGAGAAATAAAGTCGAGAGACTTCTAACGTGTGAAACTCTTTTGAGCTCGTAATTATTAATAAACTGCTTTTGTAATAAGTCCGTGTATGTTTATAATTAAATACAAATACTATATTTAATGCTAAATTCAACATGCCTTAAAACATCACAAAAAACATTTACTGAATATCTTGTGTGCTTAGTAAAAAAAAAAGATTTATTGCTTACAATCTTTATTTATGAACTGTATTATCTTTAATTCGAACTATAATAGCGTACCTATCAGATGTAACGCTCGTGCAATGAATGGGATAGTCTTAGACTAAGTAAGCGTGGTCATTGTCTGGCCCTCTCTCTTTCGCCGTAGAAACGGAACAACCTGTACACCATATTCAACCAAGTCTAAGAAATACGTTTTGACAACTGTCAGACTTATTGGACTAGGCATGCCAACCAAAAAATCGGTACGTACTATATTCGATTCTTTGGAAAAATCGATTTCAATTCTTTAGAGTTGGTAATCATTTATAGTTTTGTTTCGATTTATACCAAAATAAATTAGAAACGGATAATTTAAAACACAAGAATTATTAGTTTCTTCGTATTTATTATTACTGCTTATATCTTATATAATTGGAAAGCTAATAAACGATTTTCTACAAATCTTTCTCCAGCGGATCCCGCATCACCTTATTCCATGGGTACCTTCGAGCAAAATGCTCGTCGTTTCATCAACGACTATGACGATGTCCCAATTGGTTATATTTTTCATTTCTCTTAAATAATGTTATATTATTAATGGGGCTACGTCATGCCTCTCCATAATTATTTTGCGTTTATCATTTTTTTTATATCGGAAGCGCAAATGCGTTTAAAAATGGTTCTCGAAGACTACCATTGTATAAACCGCCATCTACTAAACTTTCTTGCAACTAAGCCGCAGTAGGATATTCTTATTTAGATAATATCATAAATAGTAATATGAGATATTATTGTTTATAAAATTCCTATGTATATTAATTGTCAAGGTTAACGAATATAATAGAATCAGCCCAAAAAGTTATAGCCAAGTCATTAAATAAGGTAAATACAAAATCACAAAAGGACGCACAGTAAGCTCCCAAAATGTCGGGAGATTGGATTTACGTAGTGTTTTTTCAGCGCGGCTTTGCACATGAATTTCTTTGCCTACACAAGTTTACACTGACAAAGTAGGTAGTTATGAAATAAATAAACTTGTTTAATTCGTGATTCATAGAATTTAAGCAATTCTAAAAATAAAATTAAAATAATAAATTTAATCATTTCAAGATTCGATTAATTGAACAATTTTACCGATTATTTGTACCGACTATTCGCATAACAATGAATTTTAATCATTTAAACACTACGGTAAGGTACATAGCGATATATCATTGAAACAACGTCAGGCAAAAAAGTTGACTCTGGTTTTTTTTTATATTTTTCTTTTTCTTAAAGATTCGAACGTGAATTAGTGAAAAAGAACTATAAATGTTGTAATGAAATATAGATAACTACATAATTCTTTGGATTTACTTTTATTAAAAGGTTATTTTAAATCTTGTGAGTACGCTTGTACAAAATAATTGCGGAATGATTAATGTGAAACGTCAAAACGTATTTCTTAGATTTGGTTGAGTATAGAAATGATACATTGAAATATACGTTACCTCTTCCTGTTGCGCGCCGTTGCCGCTCTCATTGTCCATTGATACAGATTGCGCGTCTCCGCCAGATGGAGCACCAGAATTCTCCTATGGTAGCATATCAATGTAAAGCTAACGTCGTAATAGTGACGGGATCACTACTGTCGATTTGCAGATATTCTCGGTGTTAAAGTATAAATAAGTATCAATGTACAAAAGTAAAAATAGAAAAAAGATAATATTTCTTATCGTTAGAAAATACTTTCGCATTATAAAAAAACCTATTATATCGGGATGTCACGAAGGTTGGCACTAAAAATCGGTTAAGCGTCCGATTTGGATTTTCTTTTCTTTTTTGATTTGAACTTAACTTTTGTTTTTTTTTATTATGTACTATGTTTTAGAAATTCATTGTCTGTAAATTTTGTTCATACCTAAATTTAATATGTGTGTGCCTGCCTTTGGTAAATAAATGCATTTTTTCTTTTTTTAGGGCTAATTTTTTAATCATCAGACTAAAGTATTCATTCAAATAAATTATAAAGTGACTCGATATAAATGTGAATCAATTGAACTATTTTCTTTATGCCACTGTTACTTTACTAATAAAAATATCGTGCAAGAATGGTTGTTTTTGACTCGACTTGCATCACGGTCAACACCAATGAAATGGGTTTTGAAATTTAAGTACTGATTTACCACGTCCTCGGCAGTTAGAAAGATAAAGTAAGAATACCGCATGCCTCAGAAATAAAATACTTCTTTACTTTACCTTTTTGGGGGTAACATTTACCACTGACAGAATTATTGGTTTTCGATAATAATTCCTTTTTATACAGTATATTTGGAAGAGGGGTACAAAGCCGGAATGGGATAAATAAATAACGACTTTATGTGATTTACTAACCTGATTGTTCTGTTGAATAAGTCTACTTACTAGGTGCTACCTGAGAGTCAAAAAGGTCAAGATTTTTTTTTAGGTCGCGCGGCGGCTTTTGTTAAAGGAGTTCCCTGAAATTAATCCGTGCACCTGCACCGTAACTCTAAAAACTAATCAGTTCTAACTAAAGCAATAGTGCATTAGCCAAAATGGTGTATTATTTATGTCCGTATAAAAATAAAAATATTCGTCCGAAATTTGCTTAGTACACCCTAATTCCAAGAGTTGATGAGACACCTGCGTAAATAATACCTCAAAAGAATAGGGCAATAACTAATCATGTTTTTAAAAAGTTTTGACCATTAAAAAAAATAGCCTTTGTCTATTATTTTTATGATGGCATAAACACATTTCCTTAATTAATTTTTTTGATTTCTTAAACTTAAATATGCATAGAATGTTTTTCTGACGACGAAGATGCTTGGAAATTATTTTGAGTAATCACACATTACATAAATTAAAAAAATAACATAACTGTTACTAGACTCTAAGCAATTAATAGGGTATTATACACCATGTAAAAAAAAATCAAAGAATATATATTTATGATAGATTTTGTAAAAATTAAACGAGAAATATTGATTTCTATTTATAAAAATAGCATTATAAATTTTATATTTCAATTTAAAGAATAATTTTTTTACCTGTGCCTTGTAGAGAAAATCAATTGCGGGGTTGGCATGAGTGAGTTTACTCATCCAGGTAGGCGCTAGTTGAGCGACTCATTTTTACTATTTATACCAAGTTTCAGCCTAATCGGGTCATTAGCTTTTGAGTTATCAACAAGTAAACAAGTCAATCCTGTAAAAGGTGTCCTGTAAAGGTGTCAATCGGGCTCCTTCCACTTGACCGCATCCAGCGCAGAGCGGTTCGAATCGTCGACGACCGAGTTCTTTCTGATCGGCTCGATACACTGGCGCTGAGTAGGGGTGTTGCATCCCTTTGCATTTTGTATCGATTCTACCACGGGGAGTGCTCTGAGGAATTGTTCGGATTAATTCCAGCCGTCAAATTTCACGAACGCACATCGTGTCAAAATTCACGATTTTCTTCCTCATACAACTTCTGTGTGGAATTGTTTACCACCGGCGATTTTTCCGGACCGATACGACTTAGGGACTTTCAAGAAAAGAGCTTACACCTTTCTAAAAGGCCGGCAACTCGTCTGCAATTCCCCTGGTGTTGCGATTGTTCATGGGCGGCGGTAGTTCCTTACCATCAGGTGAACCGCATGCTCGTTTACCCCCTCTTCTATAAAAAAAAGAAACTAACCACAACGGGGAAAATTGAATATAGCGCTGTCATTAAGTTTCTCACCAAACAAGGAAAGATACCTCAAACCATTTTTCAAGAGATGTCAGCTGTTTATGGAACTTGTATCGGAAGATGCCCGGCTAAAGAAAAAACTTTGGAGTATCAGAAACAACCAATTTAAATATCCTGCATCAACACCTTGGCATGACTTAAGCCTGTGCAACATGGATTTCGAGAATGCTTTCTGCGTATCAAAAACACGAGCGCGAGGAAAGTTGTCGCGAGTTTTTGGACCGCTGTGGAGAGCAAAGGTAAGAAGTTATGGCCCGAATTATAACTGGCGATGAAACTTGGGTTTACCATTATGAACCTGAGTCAAAGCAAGAGTCGATGCAGTGGCACAAAAAAAAAGGCACACACTCTCCTATGAACTATAAGGTGTTCAAATCGGAAACATCATGGCGACGATCTTTTGGGATACAGAAGGTATCCTTTTGATTGATTATAAGGTATGTGGTGTTTCCATAACGGTAGAATACTACGCTTCTTTACTAGATCAATAAAAGAAGCTATTAAAGAAAAAAGGCGATGAAAGCTTACAAAAGGCGTGCTCCTTTTGCACGCACACAAGCCATGTTGCGACGTCTACCATTCACCGGGGCGGTTTTGAACAACGGCGCCACTACCAAGCGACTTTTATTTGTTTCCGAAAATGAAAAAAGAACTGCGTGGGAAAAATTTGGTGATCATCGTCAACAAATTTTTTCCCACGCAGTTCTTTTGAAAGAAGAAGACAGACAGAAGAAAAAACAGAAAAAAAAGAAAGAAGACAGGAGTGGAGTCGGCAATTTCGGCCTATTTTGACGCCCAAGACTATTTTTTTTTTAGATTGTATTAATTATGTTATTTGACAGATCTAATAAATGTATTAGGGTTAAGGGAGAATACATTGAAAAGAAAAAATAGTTTAATGTTTCATTTCATTATCCTTCCCTGTTATTCCGCGAACTTTTTGACCTTTCCTCGTGTCATATTGCTTTCTATACCAAATCAGACGCTATCACTTAAGCTACCAACATATAACTTGCTTAAATTTAAGGTTATCTGTGTCTAAATTGTCTATCGTATATGATTATGGAATGACGAACCTATATAAGCAAATTTTAAAAAATATTCATTTTGTATCGACTCACACTCATTGTATATCAACGTATGAGTTTTTCAATACCACAAATATTTATATTGCTAGTGAGATTTATAAACAAAAACTGTATTATGATACTTATCTACATTTTAAGACATATCTGCAAATCGGCATAAATAAATTGCGACACAATATACGATCAAAACATGCATACATATAGGCTAGATTTCATAAGCGTGTAGTCATGCAGACGCATGCCAATAATTTTTGACAAAATGTCAATTATGTTTAACATGATTATGTCTGAAAACACATCATCATCATCATCATCACAGGCCTTAACAAGTCCACTGCTAAACATACCCACTGAACACGGCCCTGTATACACTTACTAATATATAAAATGCATGACCCAATATTTTATTAATTCTTTTTTTTTAACTTTAGTAAAAAATAATTTTGATCCCATGTTTTGTTTTACGCCAATTTTTCTCACAAACCACTCGAATGAAAAGCTGAGACGACCACTTGCATAACATCCTTACTTTAGTGCTTCTTGTCCAACAGTGAACTGTTTACAGGCTAATAATGGAAAGCATTATTGAAACAATAGATAGCTGAAAAGATTTTCCTTATTTCACAAAATCAAGGACTAAAGTTATTGTCTCGTATTTTACTAAAAAAAAAATCTTATAACAAACATTCCCATTATGCCTAAAAAGAACAATAACATATAAAGCCGAAATTATACAGTATTGGTCTTACTAATACATTAACCTTGTAAGTTTTCTGGTAAGCAAATGCATGAACAAGTCATCAGTGTATGCAGTATCCGGACGATGTAAAGATATTATACATAAAGAGATCAACTTACATAACAGTAAATGAAGAAACGTAAAAAAAAAACAATTCTCATACCACTTCCTCGATGTGAGCGCGGAGTTGGGCGATTGATGTCCTGATGTCCGCGATCATGCGTCGGATGAACTCCAGACGGCCAGTGGTCGGTGACAGATTCATTGACTGCTGCTCGTCACCCAATGTTCCAGGTGGGGAGGTTAGTGCCTGTGGTAGAGTACATGTTACAAAGGATAATATCTGTTGCAGGGTGTTATCGACGTGATTTTCATGGTTATACTCAATATTGCCATAATATTTAACTTTGTTTCAAAAATTGTTACACCACCCCATTGTATTATCTTTGTGTATAAACAGAAAACAGAAAACCAGCGTAAAATAGCAGCTTAACGCTGCTGTATTTCGTATGGTGAGTGTAGAGAACCGGAGACCCTTTTTACTGGCAAAGAGGCATTCATTCCATCTTAGTCCTCACGGGTGACAACTCATCTGCATCTTGAGTCTTTATTGAGGATAGATGTAGATGTCTACGGGTCACAGTAACCACTTACCATCAGGTGGACTGTGTGCTCGTTTGTCACCCGATCCTATAAAAAAAAATTACATACAACCTAACCAAATATATTATAATCTCTATCAATACTTGTCCCGTGCGGAATTCCATAGCCAACGCGCTATCGTCGTATATCATGTAATAATTATTTGTAAACCGCGAAAATACTCCATCCGTTAAATATCCGATACACCAGAAGTCATATTTCTCTCATTTCGCAGTCTTTGAAATCCACTGTTGAATATTGAGATTTTTCCATACTTATCACGTTATGTAGAGTTACTGAGCGCAAAGCAGATATTCTCTTACTGATAATGCTGCCGCCCATTACTAGTGTTACCATTATTTTACATTAAAACTACAAACAAGCGAATTATCTCCTAGGGGCTTGTGCATGCAAATGTGTCGACAGGAATCGACTGCAACCAACTTTAATAAAAAAATCTAAATATACATTATCTGCTTTAGGAATAAGAAATGTTTCAGTCTATAATCGCACTGGTTCTCCATACACTCTTAATGCAACAGATCATTTCTGCCACTAATTTTATAAGTATCATGTGCTGTTCATCGTTGGTAACACGGTGATAGCTACCCAACCGGACAAAAAAAACGAGTCTTACTTGTGCCAAAGATACTTACTTGTGCCAAATTTCTACATTAGAACAACGTTTCGTTTTCTCTTACGACCCGTTCGTTCTACAGTGCAAAAAGTGCATAAAACCCCGTTTATAAAACAAAATACTAGTCTAGCGGCTGATGAACTGCTTGAAGTTGTGCCTAGTCTCATTAAATTGCTGAACGAATAATTCCTAGCAATTATTACATGTACTTCGTATGTTGTTTCATACGAAGTTCATGTAAAAACAGTTTATTATAGCGTAGAACGAAATGTTCGAAGTTTTTAAGTATTTAATTACTTCTATCATGGCTCGGGAGCAAATTTTTACCACTCGTCTACAAAGCTAATAATATTAATTATTAGGTGTTTTGTGGCGGAAACACAAGGAACATTTCATCTTTGAAGGAATCAGACATTAGACAGTTTTATTTTTTTAAATAAGCAGTAAAGTAAAGTACCAGTAAGGCAATAGTTTACAATTAATAATTTTTCAAAAATAACTAGCAATGTTAATATTTTTTTTATATTAGCAAAGCTATTAACATTATTGATATTCGCTTTAACCACTTGTAGTAAGCTTAAAACACTTCTGTTAGGAGTGGTTCACGAAAGTCGAATGGCGGATTCGATCCCACGACCTTTTGAGTTCGCGGTGCGCACCGCAACAGGGTTAGGTATATTGGAGGAAAAAAATAATGGTTGGCGATTCTTATAGAATAGAATAGAATATTTTTTTATTCAATATGGATTACAAGTAATTCTTATTGAAAGTCATTATATATATATATATATATATATATATATATTTAATTTTAAATAATTTATATTTTTTAGAACTATTAATGCTATTAAACTTTACTAATATTCCTTTTAATCTTCTGGTAAGCTTAAAATGCTTGTATTAGAAGTGGTTCACGACAGTAGTAATAATAATGGCGGATTCGAACCCACGACATTTCGAGTTCGCGGTCCGCGCCCTGCCATAACTCTTTTTATACAGTTTTCGTTTAATTAAATATTTAAACTTGGTAATAGACCTTGTATAATCTGTTATTGGATCAATCTGGCATTATAGCTTCATTATACATGCACTAAAAGTATCGGGAATGGAATATTTCCACTGTTCCTGTCATATTAAAATCTTTTTAATTAAAAAGTCCATGGTTTTAAAAATCGAATACCATTTATTTATTTAAAAAAAGATTCTCGGTCTTGTCACAAGGTTTAGTCAAACTTGTTTAGTCGTTGAGAAAATGGAATTGACTCGAGAAAATTCAAGAGCGATGATTTATTATGACTTTCGAAGTGGTTTAACACAAAAACAGTGTGTTGAACGGATGATTTCTGCATTTGGTTATGAAGCCCCATCCAAAACCACAATTTATCGCTGGTTTGTTGAATTTCAACGTGGACGTGTCAAGCCCAGTGATGATCCCCGTCAAGGTCGTCCAAAAACTGTAGTCACCCAAGAAAACGTTGATGCTGTGCGTAAGCTGATTGAGGAAGATCGACATGTGACATACCGCGAAATTCAGCAGACATTGGCATGAGTCAAATACAAATAATCTTGCATGAACAATTAGGTGTAAAAAAGTTGTTTTCCCGATGGATACCGCATTCGCTCTGTGAAGAGCAAAAAGCGGCTCGCGTTACTTGGTGCGTCAGAACTCTCGAAAGATTCCACGCAGGATCCTCAAATGCTTTATACAACATCGTATCAGGTGACGAATCCTGGATATATGCGTACGAACCCGAAACAAAAAACCAGTCACGAGTTTGGGTGTTCGAAAATGAGTTAAAGCCAACAAAAATTGTTCGTTCACGGAGTGTTGCAAAAAAAATGGTGGCCACGTTTGTCTCCAAAACCGGCCATGTTACGACTATTCCTCTTGAGGGACAAAGAACGGTTAATGAAGAATGGTATGCTAGCATTTGTTTGCCACAGGTCGTTTCAGAACTGCAACCGCCGCATCATCCTCCACCACGACAATGCGAGTTCTCACACCGCACACAGAACAAAAGAGTTTTTGAGCAAGAAAACATATAATTATTAGACCATCCGCCGTACAGCCCCGACCTAAGCCCTAATGATTTCTATACTTTTCCTAAAATAAAGAATAAATTGCGTGGACAGAGATTTTCATCACCTGAAGAAGCTGCGGACGCATACAAAACGGCCATTTTGGAGACCCCAACTTCCGAATGGAATGGTTGCTTCAATGATTGGTTCCATCGTATGGAAAAATGTGTCAAATTTCGCTGGAGAATACTTCGAAAAGCAATAAATACATTTTTAAATAGTAATGTTGTGTCACTTCCTTGTTTCCCGAAATTTTCAGTGCCGCCCTCGTATTGCCATACATTAAGTAATAACGGGTTTTGAAACATACGATAAAATAGCACCAGACTAATGTTTGATTATCTTACCATAATGATATTTAAGCAAAATTCTTCTTAACTATAATGTGTTGCACTTAATTCAATAAAACCAATTTTTTTAATTGTTAGAAATCCACCATAATAGAGATGTTATCGACTTGCCCGTCCAAAAACGACTAAATTATTCCCATTCCAGTTCGTATTTATACTTGTAACCACCATGAAAAATCAATCGACATAAGCCCATGCCAGGTTAAAGTGCGGAGGATGTTATTGTTGCTTCGACAACCAAGCAGATTAGAGCTATTTGCGTCACACGAGAAGCGCCATTTAAAAAGCCACCTCTGTTACGTTCTAATATAAAAAAAAAAAAATTGCGACATATTTTTATTTTAAGCACTGCGGTTTATTCCCTGTTGACCCACCATTAGTCTGCGGATTTGCTGTTGGGTTCCGTTAGAATGTTCGTTGCCAGTGGTAGCAGTAGCAGAGGACGACGTCGCGGTACGCCTGCTCCCCATCCCCGGTGGGGGGCGTTGCACCAAATGCACCACCTTCCCCTTGACGTCTGAAAGCACACATATCAACGTTCTAACTAAAAAGGATTACGGTATTATTATAATTGGACTAGACCGTTCCATGTTTATATTACCAATTTTTAAAAGATCATAGAAGCATGGAATAATGAGTAAATATCTGAGTGATCGCTGTGTTGTGGCGACGTTAAGAGAATTTACTACGCTGTAACATCACGTGTTTGTCGTAAGAGGCAACAGAGGGAAACTGAAAGAAATGGGTAGCAGTATTGATAACCACTCAAAGTTACAATAACAACTGCGGTAGCCGGCCGGCCTACAAAGTGTGGTAACCATGCCAGATATGTGGGATATAAGGCTCTTCGCACACGAGTCGTAAGCGTATCATTACGACGCAACGCGTACGAGACCTGCAGTGTTCTACAAACGAATCGTAGACGTATCGTTTTGTAAGATCTCAGTTGAAATCATGGCATCAACGGTACAAGATGTGTTGGGCGAATTGACAGATTATCTCACTTTCTCTTTAGACGAAGAGGATTTTTTTTTTGATTGATTGTGTAAGAAGTAGAAAGCGATATTTATGACGATATTTCTGCCCAAGCTTTATCCGTTACATCTTTCCTTGAATATTCACAATAATTCAGTTTCAAGAATTCAATAACTTTATCAGTAATATGTCATACTTATAGAAATAAAAAGTCGTAAGAAGTTTGAAAAATTTGAATTCAGTAAAAGTTTTAAAGAAATTAATGAACAGTTAATTTTTTACGCTTGCTTTTTTACGCCAGTACACTACGACTATCTTAATGACAGTAAACATCTCCTACGATTCGCTGCAGCACCGCTTTGTGTGCGGAATCGTTTGAACATGTACGCGCTCGTATTGCTCTCGTCCTACGCACGTATCACGATACGCTTACAATACGACGCCGTGTGCGAAGAGGCTAAGAGGCCTATGTTCACTGCAGTGCAGCAGTGGACTTTGATTGGCTGCGGTTGTGATTGCATGTGTAATTAGCCCCGTTGTTCAAAACAGTCTGAAACATTCCATTGCCAGTTACAAGGGTTTTGCCTAAGTTCAGATAATAAAACATTAACGTCGTTGTCTCTATAATCGTCGTTGTATCCATAAAAATCTCCTTCTGGTATAGACAACACCCGTCATAATCATCACGCATGGCAGACATCTATTCAAAACAGTCAAATGTGTAATACGGATAAATATATGGAGATTCAATAGGTAGTTTTGTTACATATTAATTCTGAAAAAACCTACACGATATTTGTGACGTCATCATCAAAACGAAAGCCACGTTCATCCAGCGATTTTCTGCATCTCTTACCGGGTCGTCACTCCATTCATTGGAGGGCCTCCCTACACGTTGCTTACCTGATCGAGGCTGGTGACGACTGTGTATTAAGTAGCATTGTGAATCGGCCGCGTAGTGACGGTAGAAAATTATCCACGGCCACATATAGTTTCGTAGATGTCGTAGGAGGCGACAGAGAGAAACAAACCAGGAGATAGGCAGTTGTCTTACTAATATAACAACAAAAAAAAATAAAAAAAAAACATATGATGACTGAAATGGCTGAACCGATTTTGATAAAACGTGTCTAAGAACCACCGATAGAAAACCTGTATTAAATTTAAAAAAAAAACACATTCTAATCAGTTCACCCGTGTAAGAGCTACGGTGCCACAGACTCACAGGCAGATAGACACATATAGCGGTTACAAAGTTTTCTCTTCACGCTTTAATATAATATAGATTCCACAAGATCAGTGTCAGAGGCACAGCTTGTTTCCAATATGAATTAGCCAATATTTCCCACTTCGAAGAATTGCAATTTAGAATTGTTAATAGCTCGGGTCACTTCGAAAAATTGCAATCTTCGTTTCTTATTATACGATTTTATGATTATGAATAGTTTTCACACTTTATTATCCAATATAAGAAATTTAAAAATCCAAACATCCACACTGAAAATTTATTACTTTTAGGCGATTCATACATAATGTTACTGCGGGATTCGCACACGCGATCCCATATTGGATTTGCCATAGTTTCCAAGCTTGACGAGCGCATTGGAAACCGCATTTTTTTTTATTCAGCTGTTTATCAGTAAGATGCTGCTGCCCGTCTCCTTGTTCAGTTTCCCTTTTATCACTTCTGACGTCACCCACGGGATGATATGGGGTAGAGGATATTTTTACACCACTACTACACATTGGTATTCAGTTATAAATCCGCTACAACATGCTCAACTTTGACCATTTCTACAAATAAATGATCCAAGATTCTAAACTTATAAAATACGACTAGATGATAAAGGTTCATTGTTAATACGACTGTGAAGAAAAGTAAAATATTTATAGAAGGCTTATATAATAAATTAAAACATCAATCGTCTTAGTAAATCAACAACACAACCTTGTTCAGATAATTGCCATATTGAAATTGTCGTTATAGGAAGTTAGAGCCCTAACTTGAGATTGCTATTTAATTTGCCTACATTGAGATCGATCGACGCGTCTTATTTCTGTAGACGCCTTTCTTGTAAGCTTACACGCCTGAACAATGGTGCTACGACTTTTGTTTAGTACATTTTATCTTCTCTTTAAATAACAATCAATTGCTGTCTGTTAGTCTCGCTAAAACTCAAAAACGACACCAACGATTTTGATGAAAATGATTTTCGTATTCCAATGAGTTCCTAGATGATTTAGATTCACATTGGGACCCGGTAGGTGGCGCTGTTGTCGAGATCCAGAAAACACCCGTGCGAAGCCGGGGCGGATCGCTAGTAACGACTAAAAAAATGCGGTTGCCAACCCGCTTGCCAAGCCTGGCAACTATGGCAAATATCCCCACTATGTGGCAATCTACGGGGGTGGCCTATGTTCAGCAGTGGATTTTATAGGCTGTAACGGTAACGACCACAGTATTTAGGTGATTTGGTGGCTGTACTACCTGAGCCAGGAGCCTACTACTAATACTAAGGAGCCGTGGTAGCTCAGATGGTTAGTGCTCGCTGTAAATTGCACAGTACGCAAGCAACCCGGATTCTAGCCCCGCCGGCACTAATGAAATTGTTAATTGCAATTTTAAGTGCTGATTTATCACGAGCACGGCGGTGAAGGAAAACATCGTGAGGGAAACTGCATGTCTGAGTAATAAGAGAAAAAAATTTCGAAGACATGTGAAGTTCGCCAAGTTTTCCTTGCCCTAAAACCCTCTCAGAAATGAAGGGAGGCATGTGTCTAGCAGTGGGACGTATATAGGCTTTAACTTTAATTTTAACTACCTGATTAAACGCTTCATTTGATCGCTGGTTTCCATATTTAATACATCCAGGGACCCACTCAAAAACAAAAGAAATTATCATAATTTAAAATTAAAAATTTTGTACCACCGACTTCAATATAAATTATTACGAATAACTCAAAAACTATTGGTCAGACCTTGATCAAATTTATATGGGACCACATGTGAAGCACCAGCTTTCAAATAAAAAAAGAATCATCGAAATCGGTTCACCCAGTTAAATTTATGAGGGAACACACATAAAAATAAACGTACAGTCGAATTGAGTACCGGCTCCTTTTTGTCATCATCATCATCATCATTACAGCCCTTCACAAGTCCACTGCTGAACATAGGCCTCCCCCAAAGAATGCCACAAAGCACGGTCCTGAGCCACCTGCATCCATCGGCTTCCTGCATATCTTACCAGGTCGACACTCCATATAGTGGGGGGACGCCCTACACTTCACCTGCCGGTACAAGGCTGCCACTCGAGAACCATTCTTCCTTTTTGTAGTCGGTAGAAAATCAGTCCAGCCATTTTCGAGTTTTGAAGAGACTAACGAACAGCGCTTGATATTTATATATAGAAATTAGTAAAACGCTGCTGCCCATCTGCTGATTTTTTTCCCTCTGTCGCCTCTTACGACACCCACAGGATGATATTGGATAGTACTAGTAGATATTCTTACACCGCCACTACACGGACAATATTGTCGCCAACAGTGTTCAATTTCCTTTCGCGAGAGGGAGATTCCCAGCTCATAGTACTCACCGTATTCAGCCAACTTCTTCTCATCTTGGAGTACTCGTCCGCAGAATATAAAGCGTTGCAATTGTGGGTCTATGCCCATCCGCTCTCTCACTTTCTCCTTAAGTTGCTGGACAGTGGTCTGAGAAAGAGACAATAAGTATCACGTAAGTTCCCATAACAAGTTAATTAAACTTTGTTATTCCTCACATTTGATTACACAAGTTTAGATCGTGATATCTCAAACTGGGGTCTGCAACTTAACAATAACGGAATTTAGTCCGACTTAAGTTTAGGCGTAGAGAAGCCATTGTGGACGGTTTCATTTAAATTATTATTTTTCTTAATAAACGTTGCCCCAAAACTAAGATTTTCTCCTATATCGTGGAGGCATTTTACATATCTAATTTCAAAATGGCATACATCCCCGAACAATTATTTGTAAGCCCTAAACTCTAAGATTATCTCTTGTGTTGTGGTAGCACTTACTATATATACACACTATACATACTACTTAAATTGCACAAGGACAAACATTCCCGGACAATTATTTATAAGCCCTACACAAAGATTATCTCCTATATCGTAGAGGCAATTTACATACATAAATTGCATAAGGACAAACATCCCAATACAATTATTTGCAAGCCCTTCACTAAGATTTTCTCCTGTATCGTGGAGACAGTTTACATCATGCAGTAATTGCACAAGGACAAACATCCCCGGACAATTATTTGAAAGCCCTTCACTAAGATATTCTCCTGCATCGTGGAGGCAGATTATATACATAAATGACACAAGGGAAAATATCCCCGGACCATTATTTGTAAGCCACAAATGCTGTGCGTCTCAATTCACTGCCAAGCCACGGCGTCACGGGGCCTTCGATCGAGGCGTAATAACTTTTTTTTACCTATCATAAGCCTTATAAGCCAGTGCTTTATTACAATCCCACCTGGTGGTAAGCGGTGATGAAGATGACACATTATCTTACCGTAACAAAAGTCTTACTTGCCTTAAACTTTTTATATTTCAAACCCTTTAAAGATGTATCCATAAACTTCTCTGTATAGACACACAAGGTATAAGAAATCTCATAATTGAAAACTTAATTTGAAAATTCAGTCTATTATAACATTAAAATTGTAAAAACATTTTAGGGCTTAAACTATAATTATTTTTAAAATCAAATGCATAATTTCATCATATTTTACCATTATAAGCAAATTGATCATATCTATGAATTTCGAACCATTGTGAGTCATATCTTTAAATATTATAACCGTTTGTCTGCGACTTGACCGAACGAGGTCATATCCACACATTATAATTTGTTGTGTCAAGACGATGGTTGAATGTTTTTTTTTTTTTATAGAAGACGGGGCAAGCGAGAATGCGGCTTACCTGGTGGTAAATAATTACCGCCGCTCATGAACAACTGCAAGACGAGGCGGAAGAAATTGCGGCTGCGTTGCCAGTCTTTTAGAAAGGAGTAAGCTTAAGGCCCAGAACTCAAGATAAAAAAAAATTGTAATTTACATTTTTGTTCTAAACTCATCAGATCATGCAAAAATACTAAGTAAGTCTATTTGTTATTTTATTTAAGATTTTTTTGGTAACTACCAGGGCGTCATAATCGCATCAGCGACAAAGCCCTTTTTCTATGAATAAAAAAAGACGCTACGACCCGATTGATGACGCTGTATGTAGTCAAGTAAGTAATAAGTTCTATATAAAACTCATATTCAGAATTATTGCTTTAGTGCCATAAAAGAAAATCACAGATCTGTACCCAATCCCGCTTCCATACATCCATACAGTTTTTAAAAGTTCACTTCTGAACCTTCTTCCACAGACTGCCTGCTAGGGTGAATTTTGTCATAGCTATAACATTTGACAGTCGGGTTGGCGGCCGCGGTTTATTTTTTATTATTTTGAATTGTTATCAGGAAAATGCTGCTGCTTATATCTTATTTCAGTTTCCCTCTTAATCTAAAACAATGAGTCAACCAGAACAACGACTGCCGGGACAGATATTAGCAAAATAAAATGAACCCTAGAACAGCGTCTTCGGATAAATATTATAGTTATTTCCATTCACAGTTCGTCCGCTTCTCGAGACAGCTTTAAATATAACGCGACGAAATTCTGGAATAAACTGCCAACTACAGCTGCTAGCTACAGCTATATTACTGGTATAGTTGTAACACGAATGGGTCGGCTCGACCGTGGAAGGACCACGCTCTCTCACAGAATACCAGCGTAAAATAGCAACATAACGCTGCTTTGTTTCGTATGGTGAGTGTAGAGAACCGGAGACCCTTTTTTACTGGAAACGAGGGATTCCATCTTAGTCCTCACGGGTGATAACGCATCTGCATTTTGATTCGTATTCGAGGATAGATGTAGATGTCTATGGGCCACAGCAACCAGTTACCATCAGGTGGACTGTGTGCTCGTTTGTCACACTAATTCTATAAAAAAAAATTCAGAATGAAATATAAATCTTGCCTTTTAAATTTTCATAAACAAGGTTAATTTTTTTTATATAGAATCAGGCCTCGGCATTCTCGAGTCGGGAGGCACCTAAAATCGATAGTCCTGCGCTTGATCTCTCTCTCTCTCTCTCTCTCTCTCTCTCTGATGATTGACTATGAAAGTGAGGGAATTGATAAAGCAGATATGCTTGCGCACGCAGTCGTGTACTCCTGTCTTGGTCAGCTTTAGTTGGATAACATTAGTTAGTTGGCTTCAGATGGCTAGTCTCCGTTGAGACTAGTCGCCGTAACGTCAGTTGGTTTAGTGTGAAACTTGCAATTCGCAGCTTATGTCGAGCTTTACTCGCGTCATTGCTTAAAAAAATATTTTGGCTTTATTCTTTAATTTAATTTTTATTTTAGTTATTTTTTAATCTTCTATAATTATTTGTAGCTCGTATCATGAAAAATGTTAATTTGTGTACGTATATAAGTTTCCCCTTTTATTCATGTTGTTTGCATGTTACTCATGGTTTTATTTATTTATTTAATCTTTCATGCACAAAGTTGTACATATGGCGGACTTAATGCCATAGGGCATTCTCATCCAGTCGACCATTAGGCTAAACAGAGATATACAAACAAGAGGCGGTGCAGCAGTTATCAAAATAGAAAGCGCTAAAAAAATATAGTATATACATATAAATATACATACACACACACATACATACAATACAATACAATACTCTTTATTGTACACCAAGAAAAGATAATAACATCAAAAATAAAAAATAACAACTATTGAGGGAAATACAAAGGGCGGTCTTATTGCTACATAGCAATCTCTTCCAGACAACCCAGAAGAAGAAATAAATACAAAATAAGAAAAAGAACAATGGGTAGGGTGCACTAAAATAAAAAATAAAAATAATAAAGACAAATAAAAATAAATAAAGATACAAACTTATGCATTAAAAAGATAACATTCTTCAGGCAGATCAATGACCATAATTAAGCGGAGGAAGTGAGAGGAGCTAGAGAGACAAATAGTATTCTTTAATCTGTTTCTGGAATACATTTAAGGATTGAGCACTTCTAATTGACTGGGGTAAGGAGTTCCAAAGTCTTACTCCAAGAACAGAGAATGATTTGTCATAATAAGTCGAGGAGTGCACGGGACATTGGAGGGAAAGATTTTCTTTGGATCGTAAGGAAAAATTATGACAGGAGCTGAGAAATCTAAAACGTTCTTTAAGATAGGAAGGACTAGCTATATTAAATAAGACGCAGTAGAGAGCAGAAAGTATATGAGTATTCCGACGAAGACGGATTGGGAGCCACTTGAGCTTAGTGCGGTATTCTGAGACATGGTCATATTTGCAAAGTCCAAATATGAACCGAATACAGAGATTTTGGAGGCGCTCAAGCTTGTTAAGTTGCTCCTCGGTGACATCAAGGTAACAAATGTCAGCATAGTCGAGGATAGGGAGTAGTAAAGATTGTGCAAGCGTAATTTACATAGACATATAAACTTAAATACACACAATATATACGTATATAAGTGCATACATACACATATACATGCATACACTACATATATACACAATACAACAAACATAAAATATACATATGTGTATGAAAATAAGAGCTATGTTAGTTCAAACTTGCAACAATTTTTTCACATGTTTACGGACTTGATTTTTAAAAACAAACTTGTTGGAAGCTTTTTTTAATGTCAAGAGTCGTTCCAGAGTTTGATGGCCGTGAGGGCGAAGGATTGAGATAAATAACCAGTACGGTGTAAAGGAGTAAGCAACTTAAGATTAGCCGAAGAACGGAGAGAACGATTATGAGAATCTCCCAGGTATTGAAATTTGGATTTCAGATACTCGGTAGCACATGGATCGTTCAGAATTGTGAAAAGAGTGCAGAGTATTCTGACATATCTGCGCTGACGGATAAGCAGCCAATTTAGCTGAGCACGAAAAGAAGATACATGGTCGTATTTACGGAGACCATAAATATATCTGATACATTTATGGTTAGTTTAGTTGTTTTTTTTTTAGTTTTTCTATCCTTCATATTATTATGATACGTAATTTCAAACTGGCTGGTTTATCGATATAGGTACATATTAAAATACTTCTACGTGTCTTTTAATATGTTGAGAATTTGCTTAAAAATCCAACCGATCCAACCTATATAAGCATAATGAACAAAGTCGTACCAACCAAACCACCAAAACTTTTCAAATAATCTTCCCGATACGGCACTATAAGCCGTAATGCGAAATTTCTTTTTAAAGGTTAACAATTTAAGAGAAACAAACTAAATAAAAACAAACTTATATCGCCAAATACCAGAACTTCGCAGTTAAGCTTCCTAGTCCTTGTTTCAAAAATTTTAAAGCGTCTAATTTTTCTTATTTATTTACAATTGTTTGTAACACCTTTATAATCATATAGTTGTAACAATACCTGGCATAGCTTTGCGTTTATTACAATTTTTCTTTATTGTTATACCCAGGTGAAGATGTACTCTCTAGTTGAAAATGAAAATACAACAGCTTAGCAAGTGTAACAAATAATAACTGTGTCTGTGCGTTCAGTAAAGAAAGACAGTTAATCTTATAAAATTAAACAAAAATAAAATGGCGTGTGCGTGT